GCAAGGTCGCCTACGAATTAGACTTGTGCATCCGGTATTCCATATTTCATTATTGAAAAAGTGTGTCGGTGATCCTATATCTATCATGCCATTGGAGAGTTTTGGAATTGTGGAAAGCCTATCGCATGAAGAGGTTCTAGTTGAAATTGTGTATAGCCAGGTCTGGAAGTTGAGGAATAAAAGAATTTCTTCCGTGAAAATTCTTTGTTGGAATAAACTAGTTGAGGATGCTACTTGTGAGGCAAAAGCCGATATGATGTAGAAATATCCTCATCTCTTTCCTTATGCTCCGATTCTAGGTTTAGGTATTAGTTTCTTATATTTACTACGCATTTTAGTAATTTTCATGTTTCCATATGCATGCGTGTTCTTCAAAACTTGATTTTTGAGTTATGATTTAGCTTGGGGTGATTACTGCTTGTTTAAGTGCATTTTTATGTTATTTGCATCCATTTTGGGTTGTTACATATATATCCCTACTCTATTCATGCTAGCTAGAGTCCCATTCGAGGATGAATGTTTCCAAGAGGGATTGTAAATATGCTCAAAATAGAAAGAAAAAGTTGCAAAATTGAACTAGTGCGAGTTTTTACGGACATGTCTATGGTCCTAGAAAGTTCAATAGTCCGTAGAAAGTGGTTGTAAAAGAGGTCTTGGAATTTCAGAAAATGTTAAGTCCCAGTTGTGTTCCTACGGATAAGTATGATGGTCCGTAAAAAGTTATACGAGTTGTAGGAAGTGTTTGTAGAAGTGATTCAGACTTAGTAAAATCTCATATTTGATTTTGGGTTCTATGAGACGGCCCTACGAGCCATAAAAGTTTTAATGACCAATATGAAGGGTCTATGTAAAATGTTGAGAACATTGGACCCCATTACTTTGTTCTATGGATAACCAGTATTGTTCGTATGAAGTTTTTAGGACCAAAGAAAGTCATACGGCTCGTAGGTCGATCCGTAAAGACTATTTGACAGGTTTTTTATCAGAGTTATTTGGGTTTGTTCCTATCCTTTCTACATCTATGCTATATCGTGTTTACCCTATAAATAAGTCCTATAACTACATTTACTCTTTAAATCTACCCATTCCCTCCCGAATCACGTAAAACCTCAAATTATCTCAAGTTCAGCTTCTCCAATTCTCTATCAAGAATCCAAGGAAAAGCTAGGAGTTCAAGCTCCAAGGTTTCGTCCTCTTGCACTTTAGGACTTTGTTTAGCCAAGGTATGTGGGAACTTCATCAATGGATCCTTTCCATCCATTGAGTTCCAAAAGAAACTTAATATGACCTTTGAATTCTACCCAATTTTCTATGGTTTCATATGATTCTTCTTGGGTTCAATTAATTATGATTCAATGATCTATATTTGAACTTACTATGGATGATTTGATTAAATTACATGCTTTTCAATTAATTTTCATCTAGGCCCATGCTATATGCCAATGTTATTATTATGAACCATGACTATGAAATTATGCATTCGTCATGAAATTAAGGAATTTATGAATAAAAGATAATTTTAGATAAGGTATCAAAATGATTTATGAAAGATTTTCTCACTATGAAAGATGATCATGGTTTAGATGCTTATATAAGTGTCTTTATGAACAAGTTATGAAATCATGAATTTGAAAGGAGCTATTCTATGATTGAAGTTTATGAATGGATTGGTATTACTAGATTCCTACCTTTTCAAGTATTATGATATGATTATGATTATGCATATTTCCGTTGAAACTTTAATTAGTACTGAGAGTACTTTGGCATGAAGGCTCCAGTATTAGTAACTGTCGAGTCTCTAGTACCAATTTTATTGTCCCTAACTATGTGCGTCTGTAATATTTGTCTTAGAAAGACATAGGTAGTGGATGCACCTAAGCTAGAATGTATGGTCCTTTCCTTGGCAAGTAAAAAATATCTTTTCGGTGTGGGAAAGACATCAGATTCCATGTTATAGTTGAAATGGTCTATGTCAGTTAATGGTAAATATCTCAGAAAAGAACTATGTTTTTCTTCAAAGGTTTTTATAACTTCCTCAATGGTTTGATTTAAACTTTCTTACAACTTTTCAAACGATTCGTTGACCTTGTTACATGATTTATTGTTTTTATCCTGTTAAGCTTTAATAGGTTTACTATGACATGCATTATTATCTTTTAAACTTGTCTTGTTACCACATTTATGTTTATGCCTTTTCCACATATTCGATACATTCTAAGAACTTTATGAGTTGTAGATTTGAACGCATTTAAGGTCAATTTAGCTCAATTATTAGTGTCCTTAATGCCTTATTTTGTCCTATTCTTATAATATTTAGATGATCGGTAGCTTTAAAGACTAATGAAAAAGTCAAGGATAAATGTTTGAAAGAATGGCCAAAAATGCAAAATAGACGTACAAACTACACATTGATGATCACCAAACAAGAAAAATGAATTGCCTAGTGAGCACGATATTGCTTAAAGAGAAAGTGCACTACACTTGTGTCTATCTAGATAGGACGGCAGACTCCAAATGAAAAGATGACTCGCTGAACGAGAAAGGTGACCTTGTCGATCTTTGCTGAGAGTGATAATGCAAGGAGTAAAGTTTAAGGCTCGAAAGGCGAACCAAGGTGATACTTGGCGAATACACCAAAAGTAAAAGGCAGACTCAAATGAGCTCACCGATTGAGGTAACACATAAAGCCTACAACAAGAAAATGTGAGGTGAAGGTCGATTGGCAATTTGTCGTACGAGTTTGGCAACCAAGACTTATGTCACTGATGAGACACGCATTGTGTTTTTGGGCCAAATTTTGGGAAAATATAAATAGCCCAAAGGAGAGAGAAAAAGGAATTTGGATTCCAGAGTTCAAAATTGAAGAAATGAATTCTTAATTTTGAGAGTGAGAGAGATATACTTTACTTTATGAAGAACAGTTTCTACTTTTTGGGGTTTTTTTTAAACTTTATTCTTGAATTTGAAAAATTAATGTTGAACCAAAGTGGGTTTGCTTGTAATTGTTGAATTTCATTCTACCCTTGGTTGCTTTCATGAAAGGTATATTTTCTTTGCTTTTTGTGATGGGTGGCTTAAACTCCAAGATCTACGGGTGCAATTATGGGGTTGGGTTTTGATTTAATATAGTTGGTATTGTGTTAGGCGTTATTTTGTTGTTGTTCATACATGAATTTGAGCAAATTATCAAGCAGTTAATTTATGGGTTAAGGTTGGAAGCTTAATTCCTACTTTTGATATCCCGTTGATGCTTGAGAGAGATTGATTAAAGTGAGTAATTAGTCCAATACTAGCAATTTAGATTTGATGTCTTTCACTCAGTTGAAAACAGAGGTTATGGGTCAGATCTATTTGCCCTATTTCTGCATCAAAAGAGAGAATAGAGTTAGGTATTGCAATGTTTAGATTGGCATATAGATGAGACTGAAAGGATATTATATGAAAAAAATACTTTGAGATCGAAAGATGATTAGCGTCATTGATGATGATCTAGCGTATTCCTGAATGTTCATCACTATAGAGAAGCACAATTACCCCTATATGTTATTAATTTCCAATTCCGCACCCCTAGATTTCTTGTTAACTATTTAATTCTCTGAAACTTTAGTTTAAATGTGACAATTTATAACCAAATCTTGTTATTAAATTGGTGGAATCATCAATCCACTTACTTTACAATGTTATGCCAATGCCATACCTAAAAATTTAAAGGGTATAGTTACCCGAGGAAGTAGAAGTACATGGTAAGAAAGTGCCATGTGAGTCTAGTGCAATCAGTGAAGTTCTTGGACCAAAAATAACTTTTTTACCCGGTTCCAGCTCCGAATGAAGTTCCAATTGGATTCCCACAAGGAATGGTTGGCACCACTTAGTGCAGATGCTTCTCCTCCATGGATAGACAAAGGAAAGACAATTCAAAAGAAAGATATGAATATGGTCGGCCGATATTGGTATAGATTCATGAGTAGCACTCTGATTCCATCTCTAAATGAGTACATTCTCAGGATGCCCAAAGCAGTGTTAGTGGGGTGTATAATTGAGGGTATTGAACTCAATGTTGGGTTGATCATTGTCGTTGAGATGCTTATGAAATCTAGGCAACAGTAGACCTCCCTTTGATTCCTTCTCTTATTACTCAACTTTGATAGAAAGCAGGAGTTCCCTTTCTGGCCGAAATCTGATAAACGCGTCACACCGGTCTCATCTAATGACATCTAAAGGATTGAGACTAAGTATTTATGGGATGATGCAGTACAAAGGAAGCCACCACCACCAGATACTATGCCCGTAGTTTATCCAAAGACTCTAGCATATAAGGCTAACACACTTGTTCTTTTTGTGGAGTAGGCAGGTATATCCTCCTCTTCCACCGTGCCTTCAGTTCATGCTACTCTTGTTTCTGCTAGTTCTTCTGTTATTGTTGGTTCTGATGTACCTACCCATACTTCTATTTGTTGTCCTCCCAGACATTGATATTTTAGATGTGAAGTCTTGCCCGATCGGCGGATGTTAAAGTCGTGAGAGTTGAGAAGGACATGCTCGGGATTATAGATAGGGAAACTAATCATACCTTGGCTCCTTTGAGGGACATGCTGACTAGGTGTGAGTGGTTGATTCAGGTTCTTGGTGTGAGGTTGGACAACCTCACTGTGAGATTAGAGGCACATGAGAAGGCCGAGGGTAATTCTGGCACACTGGACACCATGAGTGGCGAGCTTGCTACCTTGCGAGTGGATGTGACTTAGCTCCAGTCTACAAACCTCTCTATGCTTTAGGGCTATGTTTCCCTACCAGATTCCTTTATGCCATTGATGATGCCTAGTAGTGAGCCTACTTCTAGTGTGCATCCTTAGATAGTTGCGATTGTTGTTCATTTGGATGTTCAGAGGTCCGATTTTCACGACCCAGGAGCACCCCCTAGTCGGGACCGGCGTACTCGACCTCGAAGAGGTCTAATACAAGCCTCTTAACATTCATTCATCGCATAGACACCTAAACCATAAGGAATTAAAAACTTTCTTCACACACGAAGATACTTTCAATAAATAGCAAGCGGAAGACTTTCTAGACTTTATACAATATGTCTCAAAACCATCTAATACTTGAACATAACATTGGGACTAAGCCCACTCAAAACTTAAGCAAATACTAGAGAGACATAAAAAAAAGAACATGTTGGTTATTGCCCTCGAATCTATGAGGACTCACCAAGTCTTCATCTTCAACTCTTAAAAACCTATCAAGTAGCCATGACATATCACTATCTCCAAATCCCTACACTTTAGTCAAAAAGCGAAAGAAAGGGGTTAGCACAATTAAGTACTAAGTATGGAGACCATGCAAGAAAATATGCACAACGGACATTTACAAGAAAGTAAATGCTTTCATATCATTTTGATAAAACCTTCACTTCACAAGTATAAGAGACATAATACAAGTCAACATTAACATATAAGACCATAGCCAACCATACATATACTTAACATAAATCCATATACAACCCATGCTTAACTTTAGAAGGACACATGTCATTT